TGCACCGCCGCTGACTTTGGAAGGGAAGAACAGCGTCACTTTCTCGCCATTGCCGTTTGAGATCTGTGCCGTAGAACGCGACTAAGCAAAGCGAGCACCGTACGCTTCCCGAATTTGTGTGTGTGTGATAGAAAAACCCTCAATATCTCGACCTCGGACCATCAGTCCCATACTCTCCAGGACCATGCATTGATTCTCTACCTTCCTATTGTACGCATGTTATGACGTGATTAGAGCAATTTTTAGGAAGAATATTAACTTCTATCAGCACAACTTCAATTGGTACTGCAGGCAACAATTTGCTCTTCATCCGTGTAAATACGTGATTATATTCTTATGCATGTAATATGTCTGTATGATACCCAGCTGAGTTGAGGTGTGACATATCATGCGTAAAACTATTGGAAATGAGTTTTCACCTCGTGTACCCGAAATGAAATAAATCCATCCTTCACATTCAAGCATCATAACAAATGAATTAATCAAACAAGTGTCGGCGTTCGTTTTCCTCATACTTTTATCATTGTAATAATACTTGGTTGCTCGTTAAAATGTCCCTTTCTTAAACCAAGCAACTTAAGCTTTACTTCTAGTTACCTCACAACCGACAGCTCTGCTTTCCCGAGGCAGAAAATTAAGTTGCATCTAGCAGGAAGTCCTCAGCTGATTGACGCGTCCGTTCGTGACACTGAAGCCACAAGATGCCTCTCTGTAGATTCAAAGTGTAGAAAACAACTTGTACTAAAATAATTGCTATGTGTATAAGGCATAGACCGATCCGAAAATGTAGGAAAATTTGTATGAAAAAAACTAACAATCCATGGTGTTTTCTTGAAGAACAAATGCTGAATCAGTTGCCCAATGAGACAACATTTCTTTTTTACTTATTTGATGATCTCTGACGGCATTATCAATTTCACCTGCTCCTCGTGACGGATTATTCTTGTTTTATGTTTTCAGTTTTAAAGTGTCAGTTTTTTTTATTCCAAAGATCGTGAATTCTCATTCATGACGAGCATTTGGTCTGTGCCTGTGTGATCCAGACATTAATCGTTAGTTCAATTCGAAAGTTATATTTAATTCAAAATTATGAATCCTAAAAACCTGCGGTAATTCTCAAACATTTTACCCTTCAGCGACGGCAAAACAACGTTCTTTACGTCTTGAAATTCTTGAGTCTTTACATTTTTAATTCGGCATTTAAAATGTTACTGGTAATTCAATATTTGAAATGATGAGACAACTATATGAAGGGAAAACTTGAATGAACACTTAGATTGTTGGTTAAATCTGAACTGTTGGGTTTAACATTGAAATGTTGGATTCAACACTTTCAAAAAGTGGTCATTTACCGCTCTCTTGTGTTGGATTCTAAACTCGGTGATGGGAAAAGAGTGTTTCGTCATCGTCCGGGCTATCCTAAATTTCAGCGATACCTTTAAAGCAAACTTTTCATTCTTGAAACAGATCACCAACCATTACCATTTCCACAGAAGGCTAAAGTGACGAATGGCAGGATTATGCGCTGAACACTAACCCTACAGCCCTAACGGTTCCATATTGAAGCCATCAAGGAAAGTGATATTGGAGCCAACTTCCGAAATCAGTACGTCTTGAGTCCATGTTCTGAGATCCAGAAATTAATACCTTTGGAGAGCGTAAAATGTTATAGAGAACTTTGTACTTTTAAGAATCACTCTGTGCATGTTTTCCCTGTAAGTGAATAAAAGTTACGAGTGAAAAACCAGTCTCTGGGTATGTCGTATTCCCCTTATTCGTATTGGTTAAACCCGCCGACGCGTTCACTTAGTAAACATAATGAGGTTTTGAATGTGTTCAGAATATAAGCGTGTCCGATGTGTTTGCAAGTGTATCGAAGTTTGTAAAAAAGAAAGGGCTTACAGGGTTTGTGTGAAAATTTTCCGCTGAAGATTTCAACTCTCGGTGTTGAATCGCCTTAGCTACATACATAATTATAACGTCGTCTGCTTAGCTGCACAGTGCAAAGGAAAGACTCAGTGGTCCTTGAATTACGAGGGAAAAGTGTTGCAAAATGCAACAGTATAGTGACAATAAATATTTTAGGAAAAAAAGGCCTTCCATCAATCATACAACTATAGTCCGTGTTTGACATTGTCAATTTTGGCCAAAGTTCTGTTCCTGCTCTATCTTCAGACCACTTTTATGAAAACCCCCACGTGACGATTATCAGGTCATGTAGTGTACATACATTGCCAATAGTCTATAGATGTAGCAGCCTAGGATCCAGTCGGGTTTTTCAGTTTGATCTCTCTTTCGAGGAATAATCTCTGTTGTCAAATTAACGTTCTTCTTGTCAGATCGTATCCTTATAAACTTTGTACGTGAAAAAATGGAATTGAATTTGACTTGGCTGTGGCTCCTTTTTAGTGCAATGCGCACACTTCTAGCGTTTACAATTCTGCTTCTAGTTCTTCGATGGTTTCTACGTCGGCCGAGGAACCTCCCACCCGGCCCCTGGGAATTCCCACTCCTGGGGTCTCTACCAGCCATCGCCTGGGGGCTGAGGAAAGGTTTACAGCCCCATCATGTTTTGGGGAGGTACGCTGAAAGCTACGGTCCGGTGTTCCGCGTCACCATATTAAACAAAACTGCGGTCATCCTGGACGATTTCGAGTCAACAAAAGCGGCTTTCCGGCACCCTGAGTTGAACGACAGGCCCGTGAATATGGGAGGCGGTAAGCTGTGTTTTTTTCCTCATCCAATCAGCACTCTATTTGGCAGTTTGAGGGAATTATGCAACGGGACGATATTACAGGAAATGTTGAGGGGTAGATTCCGCACCGGCCCTTCCAGAGTGTAAAGCCTTTGTGTGAAGAGTTCGATGGTTGAACTTCACTGCAAGTTAAAATTGGGCATTTAGTGCTATTGGTTCGGCTGGCCCATCCCTGGCTTGGATGACTTATGCTTCTCATGATTTACGGGGGGGGCATCCGAACCAATGGGTTTCAGTTCATATTTGTGCAGCATAATTCAAATTAATTTGTAACAGTCGCCCTGAAGGTGGTGAATTTGTCTCCATAAGTGGCGATCAAGAAAGCTTATTCGTTTGCAAACACATTTTATTTAGTAGTCCTCTAGTTCAATGCTGATGACACAGGCAACACTGGCCAAGAAAACTTGCAACCTGGAATGAGATGGACCTCTAAAGACGCGCTTTTAGATTAACATAGTCGTCTAATGGAATAGTAATTGATCAGCATTATTGCAGCGTCGGCGCTGGGTGACCGGGGGGGGCGCTAGTTCGGATCCACGGTAGAGCCACAGACGTGTAAACGCATAGACCGCCAGGTACAATTCAAAACTACGGGGGGTTTTCCGTGATCTGCGCGGTGCCCTACTAAAATCAAAACAATTGGAAAATTCACCAATTGATATAGGGAATTTACGCACAGTTGAAGAATTCCAGACATGAAATTCTATGAAGTCACTCTTCGATTGTTAAAAAAATCTTCTAGGCCTATTTACAATCTGGTCCATAGGGATTCAAAATAATGTGGTGACAAGATTTGAAAAAAAGAGATAGGACCCTAGCAATGTCGACGAGCAAAAAGGTGAACTAATTTTGGAGGCACATGTAAACAAATACAGGCAATGTAAGTGCGTT